CAAGCATCAAACAAGCACTTGATGCAGCGAAACTATTAAAAAAATACTTTTTATATAATCAAATTGATCCAGCAGTATCTCAAGATATGAGTAAGATACGTAACAAAATACAATTAAAATATTGGAGCAGCAAAAAACATCAGACGAAGATAACAGGCTATACGCAATGTATGAATAATAATGTTCGTGTGCAAAATGTCTACTATATTGGTAAATGCATATTATTATAGAATAGTAAAATAATATCTTTTATTTCTCTGTATTTAACGACCACTCTTTATAACGCCGAAAAATGTTCGGTCCCTTAAGTGTCGTTATATAGAGTTTACACTGTATTTAGAAATGAGGTACAGATATCACAAACTGTCTCAATCTGTGAAAATTTTTATAAATTTTTAGACCCGAAACGAAAACAAAACCAGAAGCGTTTTATGTATATCCGTTTCTATGACCCCCCAAAACACTCCCACATATTATTGTTTTTTTTTTGTTGTAATTCCATGAAACTTATCTATTAATTTACACTTATTAGTTGTTATGTCAAATGGTCGTTGTCGATTGGTGTCTACGCGTTGAATGTATTATACTACAAAAATTTGTTGTCCCATTAGAACGCAATAAAATGCCACACTAAACTATGTAGGCATTACATTATGTATATAGGCTTTAAAACTTCGCCATTTACCACAGTGGTCGACCTTATTCTAATTCTTCAAAATTTTAAAATCGCCAGGAATGTTTGGACACTATATAACTTGTCCTAGTTCAACAAAGTTTATCGTAAAGGAACTAATTAAAATAAAATATCAACTTCTACAACCTGGAAGTGATGTAAAAAATTCAAAACTTTATGTTTTCAGTTTCAGAGTTAAAACTTTTTGTCATTTTTGCCTCTGATTGTATTATAGAATTCAGAATAACTTTTTGTTGTGGAACATACGACCAATTCCACATTCCACCAACAAAGTGAGTCTGAAGACCTAAAGAACTCGTTAACAAAATTACAAGCTAACAGAATATTTCACGTCTTACTTATCGCAGATTTTATACATATAATGTCCAGATGAAACGCAGAAATGTCAATAAAATTCTGATTCATTATGTTTGATGCATTCTGCAGATGCGTTAATTCAAACAAAATTACTGAATAACTACTTTTCAACTATAATTTGATGAATAAAATACAGCCACTGCGTACACAATCTCATTTATGATTTGATGATGTTTATGATGTACAAACTGGTAGCAAAAATTTTAATTTTTGCATATTTAATCCCAAATACTGCGGCTAATAACGTCTTTAGTCAGGGGCAGATTCAGTAATAATTTGAATTTTCTCACCCAACAATTTTCATACGTCAGAAATGCTTTTAATATATTAAATAATCTATTTATTACACATGGGAATCTTAACTACAACTTTTTATCATATTCAATTACTAAACCTAACTATCGAGTAATGATTTTCATACGTATAAAATAAAATTAATTGTATTGCGAGAACACCTGTAATCGTCAACATTGTTTGATCTTTTGAAGGACTTAATAAACCGCCTTTTGCCCTTTCGTGTGTGGTCTTCTCGTGGTATAAAAGTTTTAAAGAACGATGTTTGTTAATTACCGTTGTATTGCGAAGGAGTGTTTGTTATCGTGCGTATGCATTTAAAAAACGTAACACTCACGAAGCGACCGTCGTCCCTTCTTTCATAACATAACATAACTGTAAATAGCACGTGGACCCTCATAACTTCTATAAACAATTTCCTGTTTCGTAGTTTTACTATTTAATTTTAGCTTTGGGGTAAATATTTGACCAGGAGTTGTAAATTACATTCCTTGAATTCTCGTATTGTTATCTCGGTTCTTTCAAGCAAAACTAGTTTTCAGTGTCTAAATGAGCTGTTCACGTAGATAATTCGAGAGAGACGCAGGAGTGAACATACCTCATTAATTAGCACGACTCATTTACGTATATGTATACATATAGAAGACCTCAAATCCCTTAAATATTTTGTTAAATTAGAGATTTCGGAATTGAGTACGAATTACTTTTGCACAATAATTCATCAATTTTTAATCTCTGCTTACCTCCATATTATAGGACAATAATGCGTGGCCTAGTCCCCCTTTTTACTTTCTTCCTGAAGCTAGTATATGACCCTCTATCAGTCTATCATATCCCTGTTCCAAAAGTGCGATTTTTCCTGATATTACCATCGATTAAGCATAATTTCACAGGTAAGAAACTATTTATAAGATAAACTTTGTAACAGAGCCTCCTCCCGAGCTGAAGATCGCCCCCCCCCCACGTAAAAGGACCATAAGCGCGCACCTGGACTCCCCCTCCCCCCAATTATCTTCATATAATTTATTGAATGCTTACCCCTTTGTCTAATTTGGGAAGATTTTCAGACACATTTACAACGGAATACCTTAATTGCAAGGATTCAGTAAGGAATTATAGTCTTCCAGAAGTTCTTTAACTTGAAAAAAGGAATTTACTGAAATATAATTCCTAATTTGAAACGCAATATACGTTNACCACCCTCTTTCGATCCCCCACCTCCACCCGCTTGAAAATAATTTTTTTATTGAATTTTATTTGAATTATAGTGTAGGAAAATTGTCAAAATAATCAACTTTCAACCCCGATAACTTTTATGGGGGTGAGACCGCCGCAAATTTTTTATGGGGTTTTACTAAGGTGACCATCCTCTTTCGATCCCCCCTACCCCCACCCCCATCTAACCACGACAACTTTTTATGGGGGTGAGACCTCCACCAGATAAGGTCGCGCACCTTTATATATATTACTTCATTCTGCTTTTACCACTTTTTGGACAAATTTTTTCAATTAAAATTTTAATTTCCCTTTGTAAGAAAAAATGGGCAATTAGGGCTTATTATACAAAGCATTAAAATTATTATTAATTTGACTAATTCTAACACCTAATTTATTTGAACAATGTTTCTTTAAAAAAAAAGGATATAGGTCAGGAGTTTTAGGTTTACGAACTTTTGTACATCGAAGCGCCACCTTTTGGTTGAAACTTTATATATCAGTCTCACGGCGCAGGTCAGTAAAGTTTCACAGCACTGAACTGAACCATTACGAAATCTACTACAACGATATATTACCGGCAGTACAGAGCTATACATGAGACTATATACACTTCACGAGAACGTTGATTCGTCCACCGGAACACAGATGTCGCCTCTACACACGAATTGATACTAAGACCATAAAATCATAAATATACAACGTCATTATTATTCTAACGCAAGTTCCGCTTGGTAGTAAGGCCTTTATTCATAAAAAAAAATAACTGTTACGCAACAACAATCTGTTGACCTAACAAAACGTGAGTGTAACAAAAAAAAAGAATCACATTTTATGTGGAGTAAATGTTTAAACAACTTTAAGTAAATAAACGCAAACATTTTAGGAACATACATACGTATTTAGAGCGTCTAGTTTCATGAAAGGGTTACTGACCTAACCGAATAGTATTTTAACAATATTGTCCCGAGGGGAATTTCCCATTGATCTTAAAATTCTAATCGTTGCTGTTGTAAAAGTTTCAGTCTTAGAATGTTCTGTCTGTTATATGTTAATACTTATTCAAAATTTAGAAAAGTGCTAAAAAGTTTGTATTAGTGAAAAAATTCATGTCAGAAACATCAGCTACAATCCAAAAGCATTTCGATTTTTTAAAAAAAATCATCGCCGTTAATTGAAATGAAGTTCATTTTACTAGTTTTTCATGAAATTTAATGTTGCTGGAAATTATTTACAAATCACGTATAGGTTCTGGATTAGGGAATTAATACATTAAAAATACAGAATTAATAACAGTTTTGGAATTTTGCACCAGTTTTAAAAGCTTATTCTTACTCGCAAATGTCCATTACTTTTTCCGAACTGTACAGGTGATACGAGCGCGCACACACACACAGTTTTCTTACATTATTTGACAAAAATTAAAAGCGGCACACTAATAATAGCACTTGGCATAAATCCATGCACTTTAACCAGTTTAAAATCAGTAATAACGAGACAAAACACATAAATTACGAAACCAACCGACGACGAGTTGAGCGCAATATCACATTTTCCGCAATGTGAAAGATTTTCAGGACGACTGACGGACTTAATAGGTAAATGGACACAAAAAAGTTTGCCGACCAAAGACTAGATTACTATCTGACTAACTTGCTGTTAAAAAATCAACGTTGACCACTCGAACAAAGGATGACACAGTACATATCCCCGTTATTGTTTTTCCGCAAAGGAAAATGCGTTTTGGCAGACGGTGGCGAGCCGATCCGATCCTCGAGCAAACGGCATGGCAAAGGATTTATGCAAGTACAAAGTCACTACACTTCGTTTGTTGTGAATATCTCGGACGGACATTCGCGGACTGACGAGTCGCGAGTCGCGGATCGCGCTGTTTGCATCTCGATGAACGCGGAATGAATAAACCGAGCGCGAGACACACCGCGAGGACTCGCGCAAAACAGAAGACGGACACGGTAGATAGTTGTTGGCTCTGGTCGGTCGGTAGGTAGGTAGGTAGGTAGATAGGTAGTAGGTGAAGCATTCATTCACGAAGCGATTCAACGCTGACAGTTCGCCGGGTACCTCTATATTCATTCAGAACTTTCTCTGAAAAATAATGTTGATCAACGGCGCGATGCCGCGGCGGCGGCGGCGACGGTGGCGTCGTCTGTAACAGCGAGTGAGGCAAAACGCGGCGTCAACGATGAAGGTAAACCGCAGTCACAAATTCCAGCGCGACTTTGTTTAGAAAGTTCACGCACATTTGAAGATCGAGGAGGTTCACGAAGACGACGAGACAGAGACAGACCGAAATCAGTCGCGAACAAACTGTGCAACTTACGATTAATGTCGCTGGTCGCCTATGCTTACCGAGAAAAATGTTCTTTTGAAATTCGGAATACCTACATATACAAAACAAAAAAACAGTCGAAATGCTTGGATTCTTGCTAATTTGTAAAGTTGGATAAACTTGGCCGGAAACCGAGTATTAATTTTAGAAATGGATGATACATTTTTGGAATCATCATTATAGACTCGTCAGTCCTAAGACTAGTCGCTATTTTAGTGAGAATTCGTTTTCGCTGATTAAAAGGTTGCCACAATTTAAACGGCTAATGACTCAGTTATAATAAACTATTACTACATCTACTAAATTTGAAACCATACACGCCCTATTTGAACCATCCCGAAATAGTACAGATCTGGACCATTAACATTTTTAACAATTTTATCGCTAACTAGATGAAAACTGGCGTGTCAGAAATAACTTTTTAACCCATCCCAAAAAATAAGCCTTTTGTCCAAAACTACCTATACTCCAAATCAAATATAAATTTTAGACTACTATATTTTAGCAATGGTTTACAAATACCTGCTATTAGTTGTAGTGGGATCTAGTTGATCTCATTTATACCTAATCCTATTAAAAGAAAAATAAATTTTGATTAACAAATCTCACACTTTACGGACAAATATTCTTGAAGCTGTAGCATCATGTCAAAAAAGCAAGTGTTTATTTAAAGAAAAGCAATTAAAGTTAAAAAATAAATAAATAACTCAAAGACCTGAACATACATTTTACCAAGTTTTTCTGCATTAAGGACAGCGACGCCTTCTGTATAGGGTCACAGGGGCGCGGACCTATTCCTACTATTTAGAAATTTATGAGTACACTACAGTAACAAAAGTATTGCTGGAAAATCTTACCTTACAATCAGTTATGATAAATGCCAAACGCGGCAACTAATTCCACCTGCAACAAAAGAAATGTGGATGAGTATAAACGAATATTGAGTAAAATTAATTAAAAAGTGACCATTGTGCTTGGCAAAAATAAGCACTAGTAAATGTAAAGGACAACATCGAATGTACATCAATTTATCGTTGACGAAAACAAGAAATCATTTCAAAACAATAAATGATACTCATCATTAATCTCGAACTTATTTAATTAACAACAGTTAACTCACAATATTAGTTCACCTACATACGTATATACCTACATACGTATATACGTATGTAGGTATTCCTCGGCCAATAAGAAACGCGAAAAGTCCTTCTTTAAACTTAAAGGTGTGAAATTCTTAGTGCAACTTTCATTTCATTTTTACAGAGATACACATAGATGCGTATTCTCTTCTTCAATCTGAACAAATATCAACATCTGTATAAATGTGTTACATTTATAAAATCAAACAAGAAGACGAAAATTAAACTTGAACGAGGAAGAAGGAAAAAGAAAAGTTTATAGGTACGTTCCAGTATCTCTGTATTAAGAATAAAGACGCTCATTGTTCAAGTACTTTTTGTAAATAATGTATTACACTTCCGAGAAATTGATCAGAAATGGAAACTTCTACCAACAATGCACTGCTGCGATAAACTCATGTAGAATCCTAACTAATTTTATAAATACGAATGTTCGTTTATTTATTACCATTTCACGCATTAAATACTCAACCGATCATCACAAAATTTTATACATACATTGTCAGGGGTTCAAACAAGAACATAGGGTACTTTTTATATAGAAAAAGTACGACGAATAGACAAATTTCTTTTGATTTCGATTAAAAGGAATGTCACTGTTAAAGTGTATGCTTAACCTAAAAAATTAGAAACTTCAGTTTTATCCTGATGAACTTGGTCAGGACTACATATTTATCAAATTATTGTATTTCCGATGATCTTTGACACGTAATTAGGAAATCAAAACAATTAAATGAGTAATTCATTGTAAATTATGAGACGGGCCATTTTTTCAAATACTACAAAATGTGATAAAATATCGAAATCAGTCATGCTCTTCGCAAGAAACATTGAAATTATATTAAAATAAGTATCATATTCGAATTCATCATGGTCTAATTAATCAGAATCGAGTCTTAATTTAAAAGAAAAAATTATAATTTATTAATCCGACTTCGACGCTCCTGCCGAAGAAAGTAGCCATTGAATCTGAAAACATTACTCAGAGGGATCCCCTCTATATTCATTTCTAAAGTAATCTTACCAAATTTACAATTAACAGTTTGTAAACAGTGAGTAATTTTATCGCAAATTATAAAAAACTGATATCTGCTATGAAGGGGTACGTAAATTATTAATATTTTGGAAAAATTCATTTCATTATTCGCCGTCCCCTTCTTTTGGTATCTGGGGCCATCACAGCCTTCATTCCTAAATACGGCCCTGTCAGTAATAACATTTTAATATTAATGACGTGCAAATACTTCTAGTTGAAGAGCTACAACGACAAAAAACAACCTGCAATTTCCTAGTACCTCTATACATGCATCTGAAAATACCTACCACATTTTGTTTTTTTTTTTTTTTTACTAGCAACAAATACAGGTTTCGCGATTGCATTGCATGCATTCTTGTGTACTTTATGTTATGTGTATTCGCGACGTTAAAAAACAGGTATTGTGTGCGTTTGCAGTCAAAGTGCATGGTCATAGATAATTACATGATGGCACAAATGTAAAAATCGACGAACGGAACACTTCGCCGAACATCATGTGATAAGCGAGTGCATAATGTAGACGACGCTTCGCGTTCGAATTTGAAAAAATAAAAATTGCCTAATCACTTTTCAAACATTATCTAAACAATAAGTAATTTTGTTTTCACATCCGTGATGATTACTGGTTCGTTATTTTAACACGCTAATTAAAATATCTAAATTTAGCCTGCTATTAAATTTGTTTTCTTAATCAGAAAAAATACAGGACTAAATTCCGCCCGATGCAATAATCTATTTTTTACCTAGTGAAAATCTGAACGATTTCCACGCAATTACACATTAGTTTCACTGACAAAATTTTTATAATAACCAGTATCTTCTACTCTTTTGTATTTGCGATTATCCCTAATGGAAATAATTTTATATTAAACAGTTTCTGAAGAAATACTGTTTGTTATATTAAAATAGAAGAAAATTATTTTCTTTTTAATTATCAAAACTATTGTACGTTTTATATTTCATTATCATACCAGGCACTTTTCCAAAAAAAAAAAAATTATGTTCCTATATTATAGCAATGCTTACAATTAAGACTGCCGACAAAGGAAAAGGAGGTAATTTGTAAGTATGTATGATAATTTCTATTGGTTAACAAAGCAAGAATGAAGGATGAAATGCTGGAGGAAGACCGCTTTGTTATCAAGCTCGCGAATATCTATAAATAATCGTACAATTAGCTCGATTAGCATACTAAACAGAAAATAGCAATTTATTTAATGCATTATAATTGTCGATGACGGACGCTTGTTTATAACTACTACGGTTCTTTTAAAAGCTATTCGACGAAATGCATCGCCAGTTGCAGCGGACGTTCGTATTTATGTGTGTGTGTGACACTAATCTATGACGACAAAAATGGACACCACGTCACAGCCTAAGACTATATACAACATAAATGTAATCTTTAATTTTGTCTCGACTATGTACTTGGTCCTTAAAAGTTACAATTCCCTACTGAAGTTGAATTTTGTTTGCTAACAGACATATCATAAAAATGCATCATAATTAATTTAATATAATGTTGTATGAACACAAACAAAAGTAAAACAGAAAAGGAAGAAAAAGCCGGGAAAGATGAATATAAAAATAGGAGGCGAAAAATTAAAACCATAGAGCAGGGTAAAGTCATCTTTAACAAAAAGAAATCACTGCTATACTAGCGAACAGTTAACGTAGAAATTTTAAAAAGATTGTTAAAGGTTAGAAGCATTCGAAATTGTTCTTACAGGCGAATGATGAGGATACCGTAGAAAGAGAAGGTTAGAAATGAGGGAATATTAGAAAGAGTAGGAGAACAGAGGGCGCTATGAAAGTCAATAAGAAATAGGCGAGATAGGTTGGTAGGACACCTCAGGCATCAAGGGATAGTTAGAGATATACTGGAAGCAGAAACAGGAGTTAAAACTAGCACAGACCTACATTAGATTAATGTTCATAAATAGTTAAGGATGTGGGATGTTCTATGAAATCCGACAAATGGCGCGGTAAACGCCATCTGTACTACAATGCTACATTAAGTGGAATACGCTCAACAAGGTCCAATTACATTCAATTGCTGAACCGAATCCACGACGTAGGTCACCACTATGTGATAGGCCAAAATCGAACAAAGAAATACGAAGTGGTCAGCATTATTCTGTCGAAACTGCCAGAAGGGGATCGCGATTTCGATCTTTCTCGATCTCATCAGCGCGTCGCAGATAGTTTTGACAGAACACAGACCAACTCTACCTGCTGTCTTAACACAGTGCGTTTTATGAAATTTCATAAATTCATAGAGTTGGTCTGTGTTCTGTCGAAACTGCGACGCGCTGATGAGATCCAACAAGATCGAAATCGCGATCCGCTTCCACTTCGAATTTCTTCGTGCGATGTCCTAGTTTTAGAAATGCGAAGATTAGCTCAGGATAGGAAGGAATGGGGGTGCTTGTCCAACCAGTCTTCGGACTCACGACCTTATTACGATACTGATGCTGAAGCAATAAGAACTTATATAGATAAATATTGCATTTTTCATACAACTTTGCCGAATGACAAATTTATAAACCTGAAGTGATCATAAAGCAGTTAATAGATCACGATTTGTAATATGGTTGCACTTGCATAGCTACATTCGGTCCGTAAATAGGCGTGAACGTAAATCGGAATATGAGCTAAAATGCATTTCAAGTTAGCAAGAAATAAGACATAAATTATGACATAAATTAATATCTACGAGATAGCGTTACGTTTATTTGCAGTTCATGCCGGAATGTTACACTAAATGGTCGTTACTTGCGTAAATTACACGTAATATATATGAAGCACTTAGTAAAAGATCATGAATTCTCGCACTAATTAAGTCGCTGCCTTAAAGTTCAGCCAGCAATTCCACATCCACTTCTACAGAAAAACATGATAATATGAGACTACATTATATGTTCTTTATTATTATTATTATATATTACATCCACTTAAATTAAAATAGTCAAAAAGACATATTTTCAAGTCTATTCTATTCTCATTACACCTACCTTATCCCACAAGTACAATACGTAAGATAAATAAGTCATAGGGATACATACAGTTACAATTCTCAACGTTCCTTAAAAAGTTTTGATTAAAAGATCTCCGTCTTGTAACATTTTTACAATATGAATAACAAAAACCAACTTTCTAATTTCTTTCATCCCTATTTTTAGCAAAATGGTATTAAATTTGATAAAGTATATCGAGAAAGGAATAGAAAGTGGAAATTGTCCAACCAAAATCCAATAAAAGCTGTGAGAATTCTTCCACAGAGTATATTTTTTGAAATAACATTTTTGTAGTTTTACTGTGTACCCTGTCTTGATTCATTCTCAAATTAGTAGCAAGCTTCGGTGTTAACTGGGTGCAACAGGGATCCATCCGCAGGGTGAGTAAAGCAGCACGGAGAAAACTAAATTGTTATGGTAAAGCAAAAACTACAATTTTCGATTGTAAATGACTGAATTTGCAGTAGAAATAGTAAAATTTATTAGGTAACTTGTAATAATCTCAATTTTGACATGTTTTTTTTTTAAATTATTTGAAGTTTCTTAATTATT